GATGTGTTTAGTATGTGAGAGCATTAAGATGTCTGACACACTGGTCAGCACACGGTCCTGATGGGTCTGTGTGTGTCTCTGTGGAGCCATGACGTCAGGTAACAGGACAGAGGACCAGAGGACAGGAGGACAGTAAAACACAGGACAGGAGGATAGGAGGACAGAAGGACTGAGGACAGGACTGAGGACAGGACTGAGGATAGGAGGACAGGAGGAGAGTAGGATAGGAGAACTGAGGACAGGAGGACAGGAGGACTGAGGACAGGAGGACAGAAGATAGGAGGACACAGGACAGGAGGAGTGGGAACAGGAGGACAGAGGGCGGGAGGACACAGTACAGGAGGACACAGGACAGGAGGACACAGGACAGGAGGACAGAAGATAGGAGGACACGGGACAGGAGGACTGAGGACAGAAGACAGGAGGACAGAAGGACAGTAGGACAGAGGACAGAGACAGCACTGCAGCAGCTCCCAGCCTCACTCAGGGATCAGTCGTCAGTATTTACATCTGTGTGTGAGTCACGGTGAATCTGCTGGAGGACACAGAGCTGTTTACACAGGAGGTGAGGACGATGAGGGTGATGAGGGTGATGAGGGTGATGAGGAGGAGGTGGGATGAAGGTGATGATGATGATAAAATGATTCAATGAAATATTATCATTCCTGGAAAGGAAGCTGTCACCAGAGCAGCAGCAGCAGAGCACCGTCCTGAGATGATCCACTGGATCTGATGTAGAGCTCTGACTCCATGACGCCTGATTGGCTCTGATCCTTTGGTGTGTTTATTGTAAAGCAGTCAGTGACATCCCATAATACTCTGTGAGAACACTGGAACCTCAAAGCTTCAGTCAGGACACTATAAATAGCAGCCAAGAGTTTCAATTAATAATATCCACACTGCCACAGCTACGGCCCAGAGACGTACCCATCGGTAGCTTTGTCACCTTCTACCTATGCCAGTCCTCAATGCCTATGTGCAGTTTCACATAGATTGACCACGTCAGTGAGTAGAAAAACGTGGGACAGACAGAATGACTGATCGGTCGCATTTTAGCCATTTTGAAGCATTTTTCTGTTGTTATAGCGCCACCCAGTTGCCAATTAGAGTTAAATTTCTCCAGTCACCTTGAGGCGTCCTGTTCTACATATCTACCAAGTTTAGTAAAAATCCATATGGCGGTTAGGCCTAGATAAGAAATGAGCTCTCTAGCGCCCCCATTTTGTTTGATGGGGTCAATAATGGAGGGGTCCCCTCAGATTATGTGTGGTCATATGCCTACAAAGTTGCGTGGTGATGGGTGAAACCCTTGAGATGTTATACACCTTTATGTGATGAGCCACGCCCTCCACAATATTCATTGCCTTATAGAAGCTCAGTTTTAGTAAGTTTTCCAACTTTTGCCAAGAGGGAACTTTAGATATTGGTCCCTAGATTATGTTCACCCAGTTTCATGCAGATCGCTCAAACTTCCTAGGAAGAGATCCATTTGAAGTGTTTTTCAAAAAATTCAAAATGGCGGAAAATCTCTATAAGCGGAAGTTATGGGTTCTTGAGGCAAATGTGTTCCTCATGAGGAGAGGCATCTCTGTGCAAAGTTTCATGTCTCTACAACATACGGGGCATGAGATATGCCCATTCAAAGGTTGACATTTCAGTGGGTTGCTATAGCGCCCCCCTTTGGCCATGGATTTCACATGGATTGACCAAGTCAGTGAGGAGAAAAACATGGAACACACACACACACACACACACACACACATTATATAATAAGATAAAATATAATCAGTGTGTTTTATTTAGCATTTAATCAGCTGAGAATCAGAATCATGTTCTCGTTACCTCAGAATAAGACGTTTGTACGGACATCAGGTCCTCGTCTACAGAGATCACCATGTTGCACTGAGGATTCAAACTGTATTGGTCAAAGCTACTGGTGAGTTTACATCAAAATAAAATGTCACATCATTGAATCCCCAGAGACATGTCGGAGCTAAGCTACTAGAAAACAGCAAAAGTAACTCGCTACTTTTTTTTTTGACTTTATGTTAAATCATCGTTGTCAGCAGAAAATGTTCAGTTGAACAGTTTATTATAAAATAAGAGCTAAATGAAAACTTTTCTTTTCATGGGACATTTGGACTAGGCTTGGCACGATACCAGAATTTCAGTAGTCGATACCAACACCAGTGAATTTCCACGATTCTCAACACTCATTCGATACCACGATAAAAATCAAAAACAGAACTCATGTATTTCTAAATTCTCTACTTTATTGAAACTGTTTCAAACTTTAACTCTAAGGCCTCATCTACACCGCAAGTGATGCGGCAGCACACGTGTATTCACACCACAACCGAACAGATGCGTCGCGCAACAGCCGCTGCTGTCCCGTCAAAATATAAACCACATGCGAACAGTTGGTGGCGGCAGTGCACCGTGTTTGTAAATCTCCAATAAACAACCCATGTTGCACCGCCATGTTTTGATTGTAGCCCAGACAAACCAAACACTGGCTCTAGACAGAGACTTTAGTTCGCAGCCTCTCTGTGACGAGCAGCGATGAAAAAAACACTGATTTGTAATGGGAAGCACTTTATTCAAAGTTTTTACAGGTTTAACCTTTAAAACAGATCATTATGTGAACAATTCTGTTTATAACGATCTTAAATAAGAACAATTACAGCAGACGTACTTACTCTTCCTGCAGCAGAAAGCTGAGGCTTCTGTCTTCCTCGTCATCACTTTGTATGCTCGTAATGACGTCACTGCGCTACAGTGTGTGCTGCAAAACCACGCAACTGACGTCTCTTTGACTGGATGGTGAAAACATTCAATCACTGCCAGGTTAGGAAACATGTTAGCATGCTCCTTCCACCACCATCAAACCTCCAAAGGATCTGAACTCCATGTAGGCTGCCACCTCATCCTCGGGCTGCAGAGTTTCATGGCTGGAGTCCTCCACGTCGGTGACCAATGTGACCAGTTACCCAACCCGATGAAGGACTCTGACCTCAGTACTTTTTGGTACCGACCAAAATGTGTCTTGTGATGTGTTTCATTCAGTGATTTTGGGTCTTTTTATCAGCTGAGAAGCCAAACAATGAGCCAGTATGAAACACACAGGTGTCGTAGCATCAGAGAAAGTTATGACATCACGTCCACGGCTTCTGGGTGTGTAGTCTTTCTATTGACTTATGTTCACAGTCAGTTTGTTTCACAATAACCAGCGACGTTCTTGACTCATAAAATTATCTGGTCAGTTGGAGTTATCGGGGTATCACGCTGCTCAGCCTCCCTGAGAAGATTAAGTCAGGGTACGTGAAAGGAGGCGCCAACTGATCCTCCTGAATCTGAGGTTCATGTGGATCCTTTCCTGGCCGTGGAACAGTGGACCAGCTCATCACCCTTGTAGGGCTGCTTGAGGGGTCGTGGGAGTTTGTCCATCCAGTCTACAAGCGTTTTGTGGACTTGGTGAAAGCTTATGATCGTATCCTTTGAAGAGTCTTGTGGGGGGTACTGTGTACTGAAGTCAAACACGTTCTCAGTGGTCGTCAGCCTCCGCCATTGTTGTCCCTTCTCTCTGATTCTGTTTGTGATATTCATGGACAGGATCTCGAGGTGCAGCCGGGGGAGGAAGCGGTCTCGTTTAGGGACCTTAGCATTGCATTTCTGTTCTTTGCAGATGATGTGGTTCTGTTGGCTTCATCACACCGTGACCTCCAGCAGGCACCGGGGCTTTTTGAGTCAGCATCTCCAAATCTGAGGCCGTGGTTCTCTGGGTTTGGAGAGAGTTACTGCCTCAAGCGAAGGAGTTCAAGTATCTCATGATCTTGTTCATGAGTGAAGGTAGAATGGAGTGTGAGATGGATCGGCGAATGGTGCTAGACCATCATGGTGAAGAGGGAGCTGGGCTAGAAGGCAAAGCTTTCTATGTACTGGTCCATCTGCGTCCCAACCCTCACCTGTGGTCATGAGCTCTGGGTAGTGACTGAAAGAATGAGGTCACAGATACAAGCGTCTGAAATGAGTTTCCTCTGTAGGGTGTCTGGGCTCAGCCTTAGAGATAGGGGGAGGAGTCAGACATCTGGAGGGAGCTCGGAGTAGAGCCGCTGCTCCTTCATGTTGAGGTGGTTCAACATCTGATCTCGATCCTCCCGGTCCAGCTGGTAGGAGGCCCCGGGGCAGACCCAGAACACACTGGAGGGAGTATAGATCTCATCTGGTCTGGGAACACCTCGGGGTCCTCCAGGAGGAGCTGGGAAGTGTTGATGAGGAGAGGGACGTCTGGAGGACTTTGCGCAGCCTCAGATAAACAGCCCAAAATGGACGGACAGACAGTTGTCATATGTGTAATTTAATGACACAATTCAAACAGGATCAAAATATTATTTATCTATCTGTTGACTACTGAACATGTTTAATCCCAAAATAAGTTCCCATGGTGTTCCACAGGAAGGGGAGGGGCTTTCCCATCCCTCGTGTCACCAGTCTAGCACTGCAAATATAAAGTGGAGCGACACCTTCTCTAACACACAGACGGGACAGGGCGGCAGTGCGAGCAGTCACAGACGCCGAGGTTCAAACATGGCTGATCTCCACCTATAGAAACTCCAACACAGAATCAGAGGAAGAGGAGGTCACAGCCCCGCCCACACGGTTTGATTGACAGGTGATCTCTGGGCAGTGCGGCGCAGAAACATGACAGCGCTGAACAGCTCCCCCTCCCCCCTCCACCACCACCACCACCACCACCACCCCAGAGCTGTAGGCTTACTGCTCTCCCTCCGTCTATTTTTATCCCCGGCTCCTCCTCCTCCCCGCCAGGCTATTTTCAGCTATAGTCCCTCCATCAACCCCCCATCTCCTGTGTTAGTAAATGCTTCTCTCCTCTCCTCTCCCCTGCCTCGTCTTTAATCTTTAAACAACAGAAGCACGCAGCAGAAAGAGGAGTGAGTGAAGGTGGACGGAGGGACGGACGGCGAAGGAGTGTTTCCTGTTTCCCTCCGTCTGCATGTGAAGAAGAAAATAAGCTGTTGTTGACTTTCTCTTCATCCGTTTAACTTCCTTTCCACCCAGTGATCTACTTTCAGCCTCCCTCTCTGTCCTCACCCTCCTCCCTCTTCCTCAGTGTTCATTCAGCAACTCAAAGAGCGTCACACACACACACACACGCACACACACACACACACACACACTCGGCAGTGACTCTCAGACAGTGAATATTAGCCGTCTGACCAGCAGCTGTTTCTGGTCGCTGTGCAGAGCTCCACTCTGCAGCAGCCTGCCGCTCTTTGCTGTGTGTTTTCAGGGATCAGAGGACAGCGTGTGATCTGTGGATGTTCATTTCTCTGGGAGGACTTTAACTCGCCACCGCTCGTCTTCCTCATTTCCTCTTTTTTTTTTTTTTTTGTTCATGATTATAGCGCTCTGTCCCTCTCCCTCTTTTCCTTCCATTTCCCTCTCTCTGTCATTCTCTCAGCGCTTCATTCTAATTTTGGAAGCATGGAACCTCGGGGAGCACTCTCCCAAAGCTATTTACGTCCTCGCCTCTCCTCCTCTTCTTCCTCCTCCTCCTCCTCCTCCTCCTCCTCTCCTCTCCCTCTCCAGGAGGAGAACAGCATGAGGATCCTTTGATGCAAGCGAGCAGGGGAATTCTGCTTCTCCTCTCCTCTGTATTTGTGTTGTGTTGTTAGCTGCGGGTGGTGGTGGTGGAGAGGCTGCAGCGAGCGAGCGCTCCTCAGCATATGGAAATGCACAGGCTGATCACGGCGATGTGATTTCATCAATTACCTCCTGGTCTCCGTCTTCGCTCGTCCAGTTTGTTTGTGAAAGAGTCAGAGAGGTGTTCAGTGCACCAGAGGAAACTTTTTTCTTCCGTCTGCAGCAGAGCGCTCTGCGTGGATCAGGACTCCAGGTGATGGAGGCGACCGACCACAGAGTCACATTTCAGGTCACTGCAAAGTCTGGATTTCCTAAATTTGACTCCTAAAGCTGCACGTCTTTTTTGAGTTTGATTCCTGAAGCCGAGCAGAGGGGGAGATTTGTGCAAGCTGCGTCTGAGCCGTCTGAACATTAGAGGAGAAGATTTTGTCCCAAGTGTCAGTGACTGGTCATCGCAGCACAAACGGAGCAGCCAAACAGCAGACGCTCCGGGAAAAGGTAGAAGGTCCCTGCAAGAATCTGCAGCTGAAACAGGACATCTCTGCTGGATTACACAATAAAAGCACAGAGGAGTTTTCTGCATTTTCTCTTTGATGGAATTTATGATCATTTTTTAATCAGTTTAAAGAACAGAAGCACAGAAAAGCTTTTAAAGTTGAAGAGCATCTTTCAGTGTCTGCCCCCCCCACACCTGTCCCCGGCAACTTGAATCCTAAACTGAGCCATGCTGACATCGGGGGAGAAGAATTGACTGGTGTCTGTTTGTGACAAAAGAGAGCGCTGCCTCTTGTCTTGGCATGCTGTTACATCCCACAGTGTCAGGATTGTGCGCCATGTTGCAGACCATCTATGAGACTGAGTCCTGTTTCTCCTCCACCAGCACAGACAGCCACCACCAGCCTCTGGAGCTCCTGAGCGGCAACAGGGGCTCCAGCACCGCCATGCCCACCGCCGGTGAGTCATCTCTGGGAGAGGAGAGGAGAGGAGAGGTGGGGGGGGGGGGGCTTGATAGGGCATCAGACTCAAGGTTCAGATTCAAATATAAAAAATGTATCGCTGCTTTGCAGGCTTTTATGTGTGAAGAAGTCTTTTGCTCACCTTTCCATGTTATGTTTTAGTGTGGTTATGAAAGAAGGATGTGTGTGTGTGTGTGTGTGTGTGTGTGTGTGTGGGCGCTCAGAGGTTTTGTTGTTGAATCGGATGTGTTGTCTGAGACATGAGGCGAAGATACAACGTGCAGTGAAAGGTACAGGAGCACGCCGCTGCTCTCAACACAACAGGAAGTTAGTTATTGTAGTTTGACCTGCTTATTAACACGGTCAGCAGTTTAAGCTGCAGCAGCGTCTGTGACACACAGATCATGGAGGTAATTAAGGTACTTTAAAACCCCTCAGCACCAGACTGCTGCACCCTTGATTCAGGACTGCTTCTCATCGTCAAATCTTAACACAGACATGTTGCACATATTTTTAAATTCAGTGTGACTTTATCTTTCTGAGGATCTCATCCTCTCTGATGTCCATCACAGATAAACTTGTGCAAGTCTGCACTTGCATCTGAACTTAAGTTTCCTTCAGTATCAAAGTATTTCAGTGAAATGTTTCCACATTAACGTGTGCACTGCAAACAGGTGCTGCTGGTGGATAATTCGGCATACTTCTAATAATGCCAGGGCTCAAGTTATAGCTCAGAGCTAACTCGCTGCATCCACAGCAACATAATACTTCCTGTTTACATCCTCCAAAGCCCCTAAATTCAACACATCAATTATAGGACTATACTTCACTCACAGGATGACATTTTGTGTTATCTGTCAGTCCCCCTTTGTTTATGTTGAATTTTCTTGCATCCAAAGAATCCAAAAATTGGATAATTCTTGATGAACTGACTGGAGCTGAACAACAGCAACACTAAATCAAACATAAAAATTCTTACAACTCGTGCAGAGTAATCCGAGTCTCATTCATCCAGTCAGTACTTTACAAACAGCCCTGTCTGAGAGCAACTAAACTTAAAGCCAGACTTCACTGACAAAAGCACTAATTTTACCTGACTGAACACAGGAGCTGCTGGTCTATAGCTGCCCCCGTCAGTTTTGCTCGGTGTAGCTATGCTGTTGTTAAACTTTCTCAATAATTTCTTGGGTTCTTTGTTCATTCTGGATGCGTGAAAGAAATACAAAGGTTTGTTCGATTCAGTCACACTCAGGTTGGTTTGCTCCCTCAGTGCGGTTCATTTGTGCAGGTGTGAACACACCAAAACAACCGGACTGAGACCTTCTTGAAGAGGTGGTCTCAGTCCGGTTCCAAAGGAACTCTGGTGCGGTTGGTTTGTGGTGAGAAGGTGTTCCGACCTGGATGTGAAGCAACTGCAGTCACATGACACATTGTTTGGGTTAAACATGAGCATGTTACAGTCCTGGAGGATTATTAATGTGCACCTCCTCCTGTACTGCCTTAATATGCACATTCAGCACATCCAATGCATCAAAACATTGTTTTCTAGTTGGAGCCGCGCCTCGTTTTCAAACTGTATGTTTTGACTAAAATGAACAATGACAGCAATATAGTCCACGATGAGCAGCGCTAAAATCAACCTGCGTAGTTGTCCCTCCATTGTGACATTAGAAAGTGTCACATTTATCTTGCAAGTGTACTCTTCTTCAACGTTTGCTTTACTTCCTGGATTTTTCCCACATGGAAATTCTGACCAATCAAGAGCAGCTTTCTCACACAAGGCATTTGATCTGGTCCTCTTGTAAATGCTGCTGTGAGAACACTAACCAACTCTAGGCAATTATACAACTTTGGAACAACATGAGTCCTTGATTCAGACCAAAGCAGACCACTCTAGGGCTGACAGGATCCCTAGATACAGATATTTGCCTGTGTTAAAAACCAGTGGACATATGGTTAATATTTTTAAATTGTACCCAGGGTGACGGAGGTGTTGATGCAGTAAAAACTACATATAGATGAACCAGTTGTTCTCGAAGCAAAGTAGATCCATAAAGCACAAAATCTCCTCAAAACTTTCTAGGATTAAAAGGGCAAGAATGCTTCAGGCGCTGCTCCTTAAATCACACGCGCTCGTGATTTCCTGTAAAATTCCATCCCTGCTGTACACAGCTCCTCATCTGTTTATGGATAACCTTTATTTGGGAACTTTTTGAGACTGTGAAGAACAGTTTTGGATCACAGAGCCGTGAGTGTTGACTGCTGAGGACCTTTATCTTTGCTCTGATTATTGATTGATTCAGGTGATTTATTGAAACACACATGTAGAGTGCGAGCGCAGAAACTCAGTGGCTTTTGTTGGTGTTCAACCTGTGGACTTGTTGTTACAGTCCAGTCTGCTGAACACAGTGAGGTGAGCCGGGTTTGGAGCGTGGCTCGATGCCTGCAGGTTGTTAGCTGGTACAAGCAGGACGTGCGTTCACACTAATCTTCTTTTCTGCTGCATTTACAGTGTTGGCTCAGCGGCTAGCTCAGGTCAGTGTGTGTGTGGTCAGACTTAAAGAAATACCTCTCCCCCCATATGATCTGAAATCCATCAGTAAAACAGCCTCTGGTGGACAAAGAATCCAAAAACTGAGAAATTCTTGATGAAACAGGGACCTTGTATAATAATCCACGTCTCATTTATCAAGTCCTACGCTCAGTTCTTCACGGACAGACAGACCTCTCTGACAGGAAACGGAACGCTAAACTCAAAAATGTTCACAGCCACAAAAACACTGATTTTACTTCACTGAACACTGGAGCTGCTGGTCTACAGCTGCAGTGAGGTAGTTTGTGTTATTGTGTGACTTTGGTGTATCTGAACTAACACCAACTACCGAACTCATGGAGGCAGCTATAGACCAGCAGCTCCTGTGTTCACTGAGGTAAAATTAGTGTTTTTGTCAGTGGAGTCTGGCTGTGAAGAGATCATAGTTGAGTTTCTCTTTTTGGGTCAGTTTTAAATCGTTAAGTTTTAGTGAAAAGTTGTTTTTTTTTTGAAGCACTGAACACAACTGGATGAATGAGACTCGGATTTTACTGCATGAGTTGTGTGAGACTTTGTAAATGGATGTTTTGATTTAGTTTAGCCGGTGTTAAACGTGGACCTCAATGACTTATGTTCATCAAGAATGTTCACCTTTTTTGGATTCTTCGTTCACTGTGGAGGCATTAGAGTTTTCTTGAGTAATTAATACAAAAATAATTATTTGGAGGGGTGAAATTTTCAGTTATACAGATTGTCACAGAGACGATGTGTCCTTTGCCGTAGCTTGTGTTTACGCATATTAGCGTGTGTTGCTCAAAGCATATGGCTCAAAGTTTCTTGTGAAGTTGATTCCATGTTATACGCATCAGTCTGCATGTCATGTATGTTGCACGTGGCTGCATGCACTGAACCGTGACCCCTGTACTGTGGCTGTTTGTCGCTGCGCTCATAGGGCAGTTGATATTGGACTTAGTTGTGATGCCCAACCTCCAGTTTACCCTGGTTAGCGCTGTTAGCTTAGTTAGCATTATTAGTGCTGTTAATGGAGTTAGCAACATTAACTGCTAGCCACCAGCTCAGCCACCTCCATATTGAGAACTGTGTGCTACAACTCATATGCTGCGAATTCACCTCCATATTAAGATCCATATGTAGACAGCTTATGTGCTTCGTATTTCACAGACCATTAGGTGCTAGCCACCAGCTCAGCCACCTCCATGTTGAGAACCATGTGCAGACAACACCTACCCATTAAATTTTGAGTAGCTATAATTGCAGCTGGAGCAGCTACATGACCTGCCTTCTAGCTATATGACTAACCTACCATACGGACACGTCAGTCCACCATCAGCCCCCTTTGCTCCTTGGCCTGGAAGCAAAAGTCCCAACAAAAGTTAACTAGCTATAAAGTACTACGTTAAAAGAGAGGTGGTTGAGGTTAGGGTAAGGGTAATGGAAAGGCTACACATTTGTTGTATTATGCTAATGCTAACTTAGCAATTAGCTAACGTTAGCTATGAAATATTACGTTAAAAAAGAGGTGGTTAAGGCTTAGAGGATAATGTGAAGGCTACACCTCATTATGTATGCTCAAGCTAACTTAGCGATTAGCTAGCAATGAAGTAGTATTAAAAGAGACCTGGTTAAGGTTAGGGTAAGGATAATTTGAAATCTACATCTCGATACTTATGCTATTGCTATCTTAGCTATTAGCTAACATTCACTATGAAGTATTACTCTAAAAGAGAGGTGGTTAAGATTAGGGTATTCAATACAACATAGTGCTGTAGCAGGGTTCAGATAGCCGCCATGTTGACAGGTTTGTCTTGTAAAAGTGGTGGGTGTGGTTTGTAGGGGCATGTCGTGTACGCTACAAACTGAATGTGTCTGCAGCCATACATGTTTCCTGAATTTCGCACAGGGCCTGAGTTAGCTCCATTAGCTGCTAGCTGCTGCTCAGAAACCTCCATGTTGAGAACTGTGTGCAGACAACTCTGGATGTCACACAGAGCCCTGTAAACAGTACGAACACTGACTGTGTAACTGATCAGACCAGATGTTGTCAAAGACATGAAGCCTGGTGTAACAACAGACATCATCAGCTGTGGATGACCTACAGTCTGCCAGCCCATAATAATTCTGACCCACCCTCTGTCTCTATAGCAACGCTACACATGTGACTGCTCCCTCTCTGTAAGCTTCTAATTTGTCTAAAGTACACACAGCCATTATACTATTTTTACCTCCCTCTGCTGCTCTGTCTTTTCTCTCCTCCCCTCCGTCTCTCCCTCTCTTCGGGCTTTTTTTAGTGTTTTGCAGGGCTGATGTCATCGCGCCTATTTTCTGTTAGCGCCGCACAGCGAACAAGACAGAGACAGGGAGAGGAAGAGAGGGAAGAGAAAAGACGAATATTGGTTTCCAGAAATACCTCCGAGCAGCAGCAGCAGCAGCAGCAGCAGCTCTGT